TGAGACCTCAAATGAATGTGTGAGACCCCAAATGGATGTGTGAGACCCCAAATGGATGTGTGAGACCCCAAATTGAACGTGTGAGACCCCATGGGTGTGTGAGACCTCAAATAGATGTGTGAGACCTCAGATGGGTGTGTGAGACCCCCAGTGGATGTGTGAGACCCCAAATAGCTGTAAAACCCCCAGTGGATGTGTGAGCCCCCATGGGTGTGGAGACCCCCAACCGGTGTATGAGACCCCCAATGGGTGTGTGAGATCCCCGTAGGTGTGATGACCCCCAACTGGTATTCAAGACCACCAGAAGGAGTGTGAGACCCCAACAGGTGTGTGCGACCCCTAGTGAGTGTGTGATACCTCCAATGGGTGTGTGAGACCCCCGTAGGTGTGTGAGACCCTCCAGTGGCTGGAGGAGACCCGACAGGAAAGTGGGCCCCCAATAAGCATGTGAGACCCCCAATGGGGTGTGTGAGACCCCAGTGAGTGTTGAGACTCCAGCGTGTGTGTGAGACCCCAACAGAAAAGTAGTATCCACAATGAGTGTGTGGGACCCCAGTGAGTGTGTGGGACCCCAGTGAGTGTGTGAGACCCCCAGTGGGTGCGTGAGGCTCCCAAATGATGCGTGAGCCCCCCACCAACAGGTGTGTGAGCCTTTCCTGCTCGGAATGCTTCCTTGCACCTCCAGTACCAGGGGAAATTCAACCCAAGGAGCGATGCTCCGGGTGAGCGGGGGATGATGTGGGCTGTGTCCCTTCCTTGCAGCATGAGGAAGGTGTGAGCCGGACCCCCACCCTCCGCCACCTCCTGGGGAGCGCGCAATGGACGCTGCGGCTGTGCGGAGCCAGGATGCCCCGCTGACGGTCAATGAGCAGGTATGGGTCCCCGGGGGGGAGGGGTGGGGTTGGGGGAGGTGGGCAGCCCCACGGTTGGTCGCTCCATCATCCAGAGAAGCAAAGTTCCGTGGGAGATGCGATGGAAGTGCCCCTGGGTCGGCTCTGTGTGTCCCATGGGGTCACTCCGACCCTGAGGTCGGTGCTCAGCATTTGCCTGGTGCTGTTTGATGCCACTGCAATGTTTGCTGCCCCTGTGGGGGGATCTTCTGAAGACATCACACCCCCCCAGTGCTGTGGTTAATGACAGCAGAGCCCTTCGGCTGCTCATTAAGAGAGCAGAGAAATGGGCCCCTCTGTGCTCGGGGGGCTTCGAGCTCCCCTTGGGGATGTGGGGGAAGGATTTGCCCCGTCCCTCGAGGTGTTCAAGGCCAGGTTGGATGGAGCCCTGGGCAGCCTGGGCTGGGATTAAATGTGAAGGTTGGTGGCCCTGCGTGTGGCAGGGTGTTGGAGCTTCGTGATCCTTGAGATCCCTTCCAACCCAACCGTTCTGTGATTCTGTGATTATGGAATCCCCCCCTTCCGGAGCTGAGTCACTTTGGGTGTCCTCAGGTCATCGTCATGTCCGGCCATGAAACCATCCGTGTGCTGGAGGTCGGTGTGGACGCCGCACCTCATGCCGAGGAGGAGCGCAGAGCAGCGGCGGTGCCACCACCAGGGAGCGACCTGCAGGAATCCCCGGCACGGAGCGGCGATGCGGGCACCGAGGATGGGCAGCCCAGCACCGAAACGCAGCGCGGCGCAGAGATGGCAGGTTGGCTTTTGGCAGCAAACCGAATGGCCTCGCTCGGTCACCGGGTGGCAAAGTCAGCCCTCCTCATCCTCCTGCAGAGCATAAAGCGTCACAGACAGCGCGGCTCCGCGCCCCTGTGTTGTGTTGGTGGGGAGGGTTACCTCGACCCAGCTGTGAGGTGTTGTGACTGGGTTGTGGGAGGAGGGGATGGCATTCAGAGGGACCTCGAGAGGCTGGGAAGGTGGGCAGGGTGAAGCTGATGAGGTTCAGCACGTCCAAGGGCAGAGTTTGACACTTGGGCCGGAGGAATGGCAGGCATCCATAGAGACTGGAAGGAGATCCTTGAGAGCAGCCCTGCAGAGAAGGACCTGGGGGTCCCGAGGGATGAGAAGCTGAACGGGAGCCAGCAGTGTGTGACTGCAGCTCGGAAAGCAAATGGGATCCTGGGCTCCATCAGCAGAGGGGTGGCAGCAGGGACAGGGAGGCGATCGTCCCCCTCTGCTCTGCTCTGCTCTGCTCTGTGAGGCCCCATCTGCAGCACTGCGCCCAGGGCTGGAGCCCCCAGGACAGGAAAGGCAGGGAGCTGTTGGAGAGGGTCCAGAGGAGCTGGAGATGAGCAGGGGCTGCAGCACCTCCCTGCAAAGCCAGGCTGAGGGAGCTGGGCTCGTTCAGCATGGAGAAGAGAAGCTGGGGGTGAGCTGAGTGCAGCCTGCAGTGCCTGAAGGGAGCCTGCAGCCAGGAGGGGAGGCAGCTCTGTGCAAGGGGAGATGGCAGCAGGACGAGGGGAAATGAAGTTGAGGGAGGGCAGACGGAGGTTGGATGTCAGGGAAGTTGTGTGCTGTGAGAGCAGTGAGGGGCTGAACAGCTGCCCAGAGAGGCTGCGATGCCCCGTCCATCCCTGGAGGTGTTGGAGGCCAGGCTGGATGGGGCCCTGGGCAGCCTGGGCTGCTGTGAAACGTGGAGGTTGGTGGCCCTGCATTGGTGGGGGTTGGAGCTCCGTGCTCCTTGAGCTCCCTTCCAACCCAACCGTCCTGTGACTCTGTGACTCTGATTTTGTTAAGCTCAGCTCACAAACCTCGCTGAGTCAGCCCATGGTTTTGCTGCCTGCACTGCTCAGGCTGTTGGTCCTCGTGTGTGCTCTGCATGCGCTGCACTCCATGGCCACAATCCAGAAGAAGCCGTTGCTCCAATCACTGTCCCCATCTGCAGAAGCATTGAGATTGGAAAACACCTCTGAGTTCCAGCCCCCCTACCGAGCCCGAGCCCAATCCCTCCCCCCCCCCCCCCGTGCCCACCACCTCATCTCCATGCGCCGCATCTCCTCTGTTCTTCAGCATCTCTCAGAGATGGGGACCCCTCACCCACCCCTCCCATGGGGCAGCCCATCACAGCTCTTCCAGAGAAGAAATCGTTCCTGATGTCCAACCTGACCCCCCCAGCGCAGTGTCTCCCATCGCCCCTCATCCTGTCATTCCCACTGAGCACAGCCCAACTCCCCATGGGGCCATGTGGGTCACTGAGACGGAGCAATGAATGCAATGGGACTGAGTGCCAATCCGGGCACCCCCACCCCCTCCACTACTGGGACACCGGAGCTTATCTCTGCCAACCCTTTTTAACACAACACCCCCACCCCATCCTCCCGCTCTGCGTGCTGATCCCCTCTCCTCCCCCTCCCCAGGCAAAGCCAAGCCTCCAACCGGAGTCCCCGCCGGCACAACGGGCACCCTGAGCCCCTCCAGCAACCAACAGCCACAGCCCCTGGCCCCGCTGGCCGTGCAAACAGCCCCGCAGGTAACTACGGGGGGTGGGCCGGGGGTGGGGCAGCTTGCTGGATATGGGGACGCGCACATACGCACACGGGGCCGCGGCTCGGGGGCGCAACAGCGCAGCGTTGGCACGGGGTGTGGGAGCCGCCCCCCGGACCACCGCTGCATCCCCCGCTCGGCGCCCTCCCCCCGAGGTGCTGCCGGAGAGCGACGCGAGGGGGTGGGCCGGGATGATGGGGGGGGGAGTTTCCCCCCCCTTGTTGGGGGGGGGGGGGGGGGGGCCCGGGGGCAGGGGGGGGTCGGCGGAGCTGGGATCCCAGCTGTGAGATGGGTGGGAGCACCGGCCGCGCTCGCTCTTGCCTCGCTGATGCTGTCTGCAGTGGAGTTGATTTTTGTTCTTTTTTAAATCTTGTTTGCTTTTGCAGGTCTTGACTCAGGAAAACTTAGCAACAGTTGTGACAGGAGTAATGGTTCCGGCAGGGACAGTTACTCAACCTCTTCTTATCCCCATCAGTATTGCAGGTCAAGTGGCAGGTCAGCAGGGGCTGGCTGTGTGGACATTTCCTACAGCAACGGTCGCTGCCCTTCCCGGACTGACGGCTGCTTCTCCTACAGGGGGAATTTTCAAACCGCCTATAGCCAATCTGCAAGGTAACCGGTGCTCTTCTGCTTTGCAGCATCCTTAATTGCACGCCTGCTCCTCCCCGGCTTGCGCCGAACCGCGGCCGTCCTCTCCCGGAGGGGTCTGCACCGGTGGTTAATGGCGGGCGTTGGAAGAAGCAGGGTTTGTCGGGACCCCCCCCGCGTCCGAAAGGTGCTGGGAGAGCGGGAGAGGGGCGGGCAGGAGACGGAGGATGGCGGTGGGGTGAGACGAGGACCGGCGCGGGGTTCGGGGCCGGGGGCAGCCGTGGGGTCACGGTCTGGTTCGGGGCTCCGGGCTCAGGGCTGGGAACCCCCCCCTCCCCCTTCCCTCCCCCCGGGGTCAGCAGTGTAGGCTCTGTGGGTGCAGAGCCGGGCGGAGGGATCCATCCCTGGGTTGGTGGGGGGCGGGGGAGGAGGTGTGGGGGGGCGCCGGGCTGCCGGCTGACCCGCAGCATCCTCGGGACGGGACGGACGGAGCCGAACCCGCAGGCGGCTTTGCGTCCCCTCCTGCCCCTCTCACGTTCTTCCCGTCTCTTTCCTCGCAGCCGCCGCCGCCGTCCTCAACACGGCCATCCCGGCCCCGCTGCCCCCCGCTCAGCCCCGGCCCCCCCCC